TGGGAGTCAAGGAGTGATACTGGGAGCAGTGGGAGGGAACTGGGAGCACTGGCAGAGTCACCAGTCACACGGGGCAGCCCCAGGAGTGAGCAATGAGGGAGATGAGGGGGCGGGGCCCCTCAGGGATCACCTGCGCTCAGGTGCCGGGGGGGAGTGGCCGGGGGACCATCCCGGGGTCTCTCCAGGAACGACGCTGAGAGGGCTGGGGGAGCACCGGGATGCAGCTGGAGATGGAGCTCTGCCCCAGGAAGGTGCCGGGGGGCAGCGCAGGAGAGGGGACCGGCACCTGAGCGGGTGGGGGCAGTGTGGGGGGGTGCAGGGAAGGGCTTTCTCCTTTCAAATCCCTCTTCCCCGTTCCTCCCCAGTAACCACAAAAAAAAAAAAAAGGGGGGGGGTTAAATTGTCAGAAAAACCTCCTCTGCCATCACTGTATGTGTTTAAATTGAGGGGGAACCCCCTTCATCTGAGATTTTAAATGAAGGAAAACTTGCATTTTGTATGGTTTTTAGGGGGTTCAATTGACGGGGATTTCCCAATTTTCTGTTATTTTCAGGTTTAAATGGAAGGAGAAAACACTCAGGGTGTCATTTTCTGGCTTTGAATTGAGGGCAAAATCCCCATTTTTATCATCTTAAGGTTCAAGTTGAAGGGGACTCCCTGTTGTCAGGCATTTTTAAGGGTTTAAATGGAGAGGAACCTGGTTATGTGCCATTTGGGACTTAGAGGGGATGGGGGTGATGGGGGTTCAGGGGGCGATGAGGCTTCTTGGGGTGGTACTTGGGACCCTGCAAGTGAAGGACAGCCCTGTCCCCCAGGGAAGAAAGGCTGTAGCCTGGGGGTCTCAGGTGCAGATGATGGGCAGCCCAGGGCACTCCAGGGGCAGCAAGACCTTTCTGTCCTGGCGCCTTTTCTCATGGAGCAATCCCTCGACATAATCAATTTGGGAGGTGGAAGGGAAATTTCTGATGCGGTTTCTTGCCAGGGAATTCCAGCTCTTTCCCATGGGAAGGAAAACTCACAGCCCCAGTGTTTCAGTGGCAGATAATGGGCTGCCCAGGGCAGAAATAACCAGCCAAACCTTCCTGCCCTGGGAGCAAGCCTGGGACATATTCCATTTTGGAGATGGAAATCAAGTTTTGGTGGTGGTTTCTCGAACGTGAATTTATGGCTCTTTCCCTTGAGAAGGAAAGCACATTGCCCCATAACAGTGTTCCAGCATCAATCATTGGTTATTTTCTTTTTTTTTTTTTTGGGGGGGGGGAGGGTTTCATATTTCTTTTCAGATGTGATGTCACAGTTCCTCTCTGTGGCACGGAAACCAGTTTTGGTCCCACACATTGGGTGGTCTTGGTGTACTTAATTTTTTTTCCTAGTTTACAATGCCATTGGTTTGATCCACTACAGAGGGAATGCAAAAACCAAGCCGTTGAGCTTTATGTCCTGTTTTTTTTACTCTCTGAGCTGTTAGTGGTGGGGTTTGGTTTAGGATCCTGACTCTGTGAGACTGAAGGATTATGATGGAATGTAGAGTTGAAAAGGAAAGTGCAGATCCCAGGGCGTGTGGTGCTCTTCAGTGGGTGCACTTGAAGGTGACCCAGCAACAGTTTGCTCCCCTGGCACTTTTGTGAGCTGTATTTTTGCAGGATGTTTTTAATTTCGTAATCGGACTCTGCGAGAGGGAAAAAATTTATTAGTACATATAATTGGGAAGGAGTTGGCGTTGCCGTTTGAGTGTGGTGCAAATAAGAGTTTGCACATGAAAGAGGAAGGTCAGCCAAACTTTTCTGTCCTGCCGCACGTCGTTTGAGAGCGGTGACTAAAACGTTTCCACCTTTGGATCCGCACTTCAGGGGTTGTTTTCTGTGCAGGCAGCGCCGTGCGGTGGAACTGGTGAAGGCCGACACTGGGGAAAGTCCACTAGATAGCGCTGTGTACTTGAGAAAGATGAAAATACATCAGGGTTCCCTCCGAACCACCGAATGTGACGATCCAAAGCTGAAAACGTCCTCCACTGCTCTCCAAGGAAATGTACGGGCACAGAAGATTTCACTGCCTTCCCCTCGGAGCGTGTAAACCATCGCGAACACTATTTGCTTCTCAGCTCTATCTACCGTGACATTCTCTCGATCTCACAGAGTCCAGAGCTTAACCAAACAGTTTCCAGCTGCACTTGTCTCAGAGAAAAGTGCCAGGACAGAGCTTTTGCTGACTTTCCCCCTGACCTGTGCAAACTCGTACTCGCAGCTCAATCCCTGTCCCACACGTTCAGCATCGCAGCGTCCAAAGTGTCCATCTACATCCCACGGAGAAGAAAGTGTCGGGACAGGAGGAGTTCCTAGATCACCCCTTCTCCTTCCCTAAAAAAAAGAAGTCCTAGAACAAAAAAGACGGTGCTGGGCACACTCTTCCCGTGCAGCCTTAGACTGCACAACACCCACTGGTGGTGTGCTTTTGTTTCCAGCTGTGTGCACTGTTACATTTTGGCTCTCTCGCTGAGCCCAGCTCCATAGTTTTAATCTGAAAGCCAAAGGGGAGAAAACAGTTACTGGGTTTCACAGGCACATCCAAGGGTATCAACATCACCACGTGTGCACCAGGGCTACGAACTTTCCTTTCAAGCTCTAGGTACCACCACAGCCTTTCAGTCTGGCAGAGATCCTCTCCTGAACTAACTGTATCGAGTGTAAATAGGTGCCTGCTGAGCCAACTGTTGTTGTCTCCATATTTAGCTGGCATCCTTTGAAAAGGATCTCACCCCCTGGAGCTGAGCACTTTCCTGCTCGGTTGCAGGTACCATCACCATCGTGTTCTTTTCCTCTTGCAGAGCCCAGCTTCAAACTCTAATACATCCAGCAATTGCTCCCATACCAAAAGTCCTGGAACAAAAAGTCAGCTCTGGCCTTCACCTTCCCCTTGTAGTGTAGGTGTAGACCCACCCTGGTCTATGTGCTGAGCTCTGTGTGCTCTCAAACACTTTCAGTCTCACAGAGCCCAGTTACAAAACTAAAAACGTCCCTCAGAAAAGGTTCTGGAAGAAAGAACCAAGTGCTGGAATTCTTTTGCAGCCTGTAAACTGCATAGCAACAAAGAGACGACTTGCCTTCCTTCCCAGCTATGTGCAGGATCACATCCTTTCAGTCTTGAAGAGACAGGGTTCAAAACTGAACCCTTACACTGCTCCCACGCTGTTGGTGACAGGACAAAAAGCTTTTACCTGTGCGCTTTTACCTGTCATAGAAACACCACACGATGGCGGTGTGGACTTGCATAAATTCATCCGAAAAGCCTCCCTGTATCTCGGAATTGTGCTGTCCCTCTTGTGGCTGCTTCGTCGCGCCGAAGAGGAGGACCAACAGTAAGTTATTCCCGTGCTCTGGAATGCATCGTGCTAAGTTTTCCACCCGACCATTCGGCCAGCTGAAAAATTAAGGGGAAAGAGAAAATTTTCTGGAAGCCGTTTTCTTCAGCAGCTTCGTTTCCCGAGTGGTCTGTCTCAACCTTTTGCCGATTTCTAGGCTTTTGTTTTTCTTACCGTGCCTCCCTCCCAGCTGATTTATTGTCGTTTGGAAGTCGGAGTTAATCTAATGACGTGATGTGTATTTTGGCTGTTACTTGCATGAGCAGGGCAAGGATTGTTTCACTTCATTGCCATCTTGGTTTTGTCAGGCAGGACGAGCTACTAATTACTTGAGCAATTACCCCAATGAAAAAGATGGTGATACTTTCAAAGCAGTTAAACGTGGGTAGGTTCCTGTTTGAAAAAGCAGAGAAAACTGATTGCCTATAAATAAATGGATAGGGCTAGGTGTAAGTAAGTAGGGCTGTGTTTAAAGTGTTACTTAAAGAACAGCTTTGAGTTGGAGAGAGAGCATTTGAGAACTGTGGTTTCCATTTATCGCGTTGTGTAATTCAAGGTCCGGGGTTACCATCCTTTCTAGGATGAAGGTGTGGATCAATGAGACTTTGTCCACGGGGCTGGGAACTATCCAGAACATTTAGCAGAAATTCAGAAGCTGTGCTGGCATGTGCAAGTATCGCTTTTGTGAGTGCTTGCAATTTTTTTTAAGCGTATACTTTAGTAAGACAAGAAAAATTATTTCGTTTTGACTGAATATTTCTATGATTACTGGCAGAGACAAGAGTGTTCGTGGTGTGTCTGCTTTCCTGTAACTATTCTTTAGCCACTAAACTGTTGAGGAACACACCTGGTCCGGGCAGCTCGGCTTGCAAACTGCAGATAGAGATGCAGATTGAACCGTGGGTGGGAGCCCGAGACAAATTGCCAAACTTTGGGGTAACAAAGGGCATGAGGATGGGTGATGCCAACCAGGTGAGGGGACACAGAGACACAGCAGGAGCCCGGAATTGCTGAGCTTTTGGATAACAAAGGAGATGAAGACCTGTCACCGAGCGAGGTGGATGGATGCGGAGGAGCCAAAGATTCGGGAGGAAGTGCATAAAAGCTGCTTACAAATATATGTTAATGTAGGATCTGTTTCTTGTATTTTATGTTCATCAGCTACCAAGTGGGGGGTTTCTACAATGATCGTTACCTCTGTAACGTCACAATCATGGCTAAGGGTAAATTCTGTGGCATTTACTTGTTCCATAGCTTGGATGGCATTGAGAAAACACCCCTGACAAATGAAGCTTTAGTTGATTTATCTTGTTTGAATTTAACTAAAAAAGCAAACAAACCAACCAACCCATGAAAAATCAGCCTCTGTCAACTGTGCTTTTCATTTTTACTTGATTCCCTCTTTCCCAGCCTTTAACTTTATGACAGCTGGTCTGAGAACCTGAGGATAGAGCTGCTCTGTGTGATATCTGTGCTTTCTGTGATGCTGTTAATAAGAGCTGTGTTGTTCTTTTCATAGTGTCATCAAAAGCATGTTGACACTGTTGCTGCTAAGTTTTGCCAGCTTCATAATTGAAAAGTTCCTCTTGTGTATTTCGAGTAATTTTCATGCAGAAAATAAGACATTATACGAGCAAACAATGAAAACAGCTTTGCTGGACACTGTAATCTGTCTTAGAAATCTTTTTTTTATTATATATATTTAATGTTTTCAAGTACTAAAGGGTTGCAAAAATAACACACCAGTATGAACATAACAACTTAGCAAGTATATATATATATCTGCCAAACTACATTGAATCTACTTCAACCAGTACAGCACTTAAAAGCAACCTGGTAGGAAGAAAATATTTCATGTGGCAACTTCCTCTGCTGGAACAACTTCCAAAAGCATCTGGAGGTGCATAGTGATGGGATCTGAGGAAAAAAGTTATTGTTAGAGGCTTTATGAGAGAGAACAATATCTCAGTTCAGACTATTGAGTGAGAAGATTATCCTTCCAAGTAGTTGTCCTTTTTTTTAAGTTTGAAATAGGAATAAAACTAACAGCTGGGGAATAAAAATAGTCTTAAGATCCAAACTACAGCATTCCAGGTTTCCAAACTTGCTCTTACTAGAGCACAATGCTTCTAATTGCACAAGTGCATTATAATTAATAATCCCAGGGGACGGGAGAGACAGCTGATGGATTTTTTTTTAAATGTCTGTAGAACTACTGATCCTGTTCTATTCAGCCAGTTCCAATTAACCTCTTACCTGTGTATCCTGGTTTCCCTGAAATAATTACAAGGAGTTTTTCTGGAGACTAAGCAAAATAGGTTTATAACAGTGGCTGGGTTCTTGCAGCTTTCACTGTACTCAGCACTGTGATTATTCTTTTATCTTAATGCTGTTAACATTTACTTCAGTAAGCATAATAAAAACTGTTTGGCAGCAGCAGAATTTATGTCTGCTGATCTCTAGTTCATGGCTAAAGCAATGTTTTGAAACACAGATAATCAGAAAACTAACTTTACAGATGAAATAGTTCTGTTAACTTTAAAATTCAGTTTCTTTGTGCTTTGTTGCCTTTTTGTGAATTAAATTTAATTTCTCCTCAAGTCAGACATCACTTTTTTTTCCATAGGAAGGAGTAAAATAGAGTCTTCAGTGAAGCTCAATACATTTTTGGGAAATTCCTTCCCTTCCCGGGACCAGACAAGGAGCTT